ATTTTATGGGCAATTTATTTAATAAACTTGGGACTTATTTATTTTGAGACCAATGGAACATAATTTTCCTTGGGGTGAGAACGCCTTTATTTATAATAAAGTTTTACTTAGTACTTATTATAATCATTATATCTATTAAATTGGTTATACTGATTATTACAAATAAAACTATTCTATATCTATTATCTTCATTATATTTGTTATCTTGGATTTATTTAATTTCTTCATTATATCCAATATTTTGCCAGCAACTCCTTTTTCGGTAAGAGATCATCATAATTAGGTTAATGTGAGTTGGCTTGGCGTCTTTTAGGTCACATTTTCCCAACCTCACACTATGCTCTCTAACAGTATACAACTATAGTGTTTAAGCAGCTTCAATTTGGGACATCCACATATTTCACCATCTTCTTCATACTAATGGATTAAAGTGAACTCAAGTGGCTCTTTATTTGCTTGATTAAATTTAAGTATTAGCAGTATCTTGATAGATTATAATCATATTAGTTATATTACTCTCGAAGTTAGATAAAAATGAAAGTATTATCTAACTTCAAAAGTTTTTACGTTTATAAATATTATTAACTCGCTTTTATTGCTTTTATTGTTAGATTTGTATTAATAGAATAACTTATAAATATATCAATACTTACTAAACTATACCAAATTATTTCTTCTTTTCCATCACTCCCATTAACAATAATATTAGAAAATATTAGACTTCCATGAAAACTTGATGTAGTCCAAATTATATCGGTACTTTCTAAAGAAGCAGAAGTAAATATCACCATGTGATTATCATTGTTAAAGGATGTTACTGATTTCTCTTCAAAAAATTCATTGAGACCAGTTAGTAAATTTTGAAAGCCTTCAACTTGCAATGGGTTCATATTATTTTTATTATTTTCAAGAAATTCATCTAGCTCATCTAAACCTAATGACTACAAAGATTTACCAAACTCTTTCGCTTTACAATATTTCTTTTGAGCTCCACTTTCAGTTAGTTTCTACTGTTTAACCTATTAATAATGATTATTAGTGATATTTAGCAATAGTTTACTATATTTAAAACTTACAGTATTTGTTTTATATAGTCTTTTTTATTGGACATGTGATAGAGAATTTTTACGTAATCCTTATGAAGAGTCTCATAAGTCTCTGTGGTTATACTATTTATAGATCCATACTCTTCAATTGCAGGTACTATATAATAGCACCAAGCATGAAGTTTAGGAAGCTGAAAGTTATTTTGAGCATATTTTGAAAATATTTCTATGAATTCTCTGGCCCAATCCAAAATGAAGGTCTGTGAAACTAATTATTAGTAATCTAGTATTTTAAAAAAGCTAAGTATTTATTTTATATCTGAAGCTGATTACAAGAATTGTAAGTAAACAATTCTTTACAGGTGGCAATATATATTCTAAGGAATTTGTAATAAACTTGGCATAGCTGTTTATTACTAATTCCTGGCTTTCTATAATCCTCATATAGATTATCAAGAGCAAAAATTATTATTTTCATTATATTTTGCAGTTCTTCAGCCATTATGCATATTATATCTAATATATTCTTAATTATTTTAAGGCTGCTATATTGAGAGATCGATGTTAATTGCTGTTCAAAAGTTTGAAATACTTGGCTCCTGCATTGGTCATATAAAAGAACTTTAGTATATTCTAGCATATACTTAAAGAGACCAAGATCTAAAGCATGTATTCAATCATGCACGATAGCCTCATATATATTAAAGTTTCTAAAATTTTTATAATTTATAACAATATATATATTTTTAGTATATTACTATGATGATAATAAACTAAATCACATGTCTTATGTCCCAAAATGCATTTTTTTTAGGATGAATTAAATAATACTGATCATCTCCCCTATCTATTGCCTGTATCATAGTATCTGGAGTTCTTGGAATTATTTCCATTAAATTAGTATTAGTCAAGACATCTTTTGATACTAAGCATTTTCTACATTGTCGTCTTGAGGAAGCTGGCTGATAAATATTTGCAAACTTATCAGCCTCAACCATGTTAGCAATAATTATTGATATACGTGAAATAAAAGTGATTATACTTCTACATACTACAAAATAAAGCTCTGGTTCTTTAACAATAGGCTTAAGAAAAACTGATATGCTCTCCTGAAAGTAGTGATACAAATCAAAATCAAAATTAATCGATTAGTTGGTTAGTTGACAACTAATTGACTGAACTTTTTAGACACTAACTAATTGATTAATCGATTAATTGACTAATCGATTAGTTGCAACTAATCAACAAAGAATAAATTGATTAGTTGTAAAGAACTGATTGAAAAATTATTTATTTACTTAATGAATTAGTTGCAACTAATCGATTAATCGATTAGTTGCAACTAACTGAAAAAATAATGACCAACTAATTGATTGAAAAAATTTTGATGATTTGTAACACTACCTGAAACATTTCTCTCTGTACTTTTCTGAATTTATCAGACTTTTTCATTTTAGAATCCTTAGCTTTTAAGATTGGAAGATACCCAATTAATGCTTTGGATTCTGGCTTATTTTTTTGATAGTTGGGAATGTTTCCAAGTGATAAAAACAAGGGGTGCCAGAAGATTTTCCTATATTATCTAGAGTTGTTGCATTGAATAAAGGATAAGCAACAACAAACGTTGCCCAAGGAGTAATTTCAATTCTTCTCGCTTCCACTAATTACCATGATATTGTTCTCCAAAGATTTTATACTCTACATTATTTCTTACTTCTCTTTTATCTTCATATTCAAGAAACAATGACTGATTAATACTATTGATCATTATTAAAGACTTTATAGCTTTAATTAATGATCAATAGTAAAATATTATATTCAACGTTTTCAAACTTTTTTATAGAAATTTCTTTAAACATCATATAAGGTGGGGTAAATTCATCAAGAAATTCCTTTCCGGTCTTTGTTGATGGTAGAAGCAGCGAAATATCCAAATTGGTAAATTTATTGAAGAAGATTATAAAAGCATTACCAGCTGAATTTGAAAGTCAATACTTATTAACTATCTCTATAAATTCGTAATAGGTATCATTAGGCTATTCAACATTTTGTGAGTGGCACAAGTCATCAAAAGCATTATTAAATAAATCTCCTTCATAATCTTCGGGGTCAATATCAAAAGCATCATTTAACGAAGTATCTCTATAGTCTTCAAGATCACTTTCATTAGATATATTTTGAGATAATTCATCTTCCAGTAGCACATTATCACTTGAAAGATGTTCCTCTTCTATATAAGAAGGCTTACTTGGAGTTGATTCAGATAAGATTGACATATTTTGCTCTATATTAAATATTATCATTTTATAATGCTTTATAATAAATTAAAGATGTATAAACAATTTACCTCATATTCTATAGCAAAATCATAACTAGAACTATATTCTGGAAGATTCCAAATATCATCATTGTTATCTAAGTATACTAAAGAAACCGTGTTATTTGTGGATTCTTGAACTGTGTTATTTTTGGAATCTTTAAGATAAGGATGTTTTTGTAAAATATGTGGTACTAATGTGAATTATTTTGAAAATTTTCGATTACAATGCTCACATGGCCAACGCATTTTAAGAAAAAGAAAAAAAGAAAAAAAAAAGAAAGATATAAAAAAAAAAATTGAAAAAAAAGAAAAAAAAAATTAGAAACAAAAATAAGATATATGTATTAAATGAAAAAGATAGAATAGGATATATATTGAATGTTAAAGTTAGAATAGATATATGTCGAATGTAAAAGATAGAATAGGATATATTATTGAATGTAAAAAAAGAATATAGATTTTATATAAAAAGAGCATCTAAAAAAATAAAGAGAAATAATTGTAAAAAATGTTATAAAGCAATATATATAGATTACTATTATATATATAGATTGATGTTTTTTTGCTTATTTTATCAATACAATAATTATTTATGATATAATCTTATGCTTTATATTATAATTATATACTTTAATATTATAACAAATCTTAGCAAAAAATTATATAATATGCATACAATAAAACTCAGATTCAGTATAATGATAAATCTCAGTAAGGCCACACCAAGTTAAAACTCTGTTTAACATAACCCCCCTCTTTTTGACTTAGATAGAGGGGTAATAAACAATACTTAATATAAAATCATATTAACTGTTTAAAAAAAAATTTTTTTATCCAATCAAATCTTATGTTTTTTACTCCCCCCTCATGTTTAGAGTTGCAGATCATTTATAAGCATTATGTTAAACAGAGAATCAAATTGGGGGTGGCCTAACTATCATTATAACAAAACAAGATAAATATTCATTATTGTTATTCTTTACATTTCATTTCTCATCATTAGATTTTAACTTTTATTTTCAGCTTGGGTAAATTTTACTAAAATATAAATACAAGATTTTTTATCGTTTGAAAAGTAAAAAAATTTTGATTTCTTTTTGAAAAATTTTGAAATGAATACTAACTCAAGACACAATTCATCAGTTTATCCTGCTACTCCTATTCCTAATACATCAATTAATAATGTTTTTTCTCATCAACATCATCCATCAACATCTCCACCTAATAACGCTTTCCATCAATATCCTAAATCAACGCCTCTGCCTAATATCGCTTATTTTTATCCTCAATCAATGCCTCCACCTAATATCACTTCTTCGCATCAACATCCTCAATCAACGCATTCACATAATATCGATTCTTCCCATCAACATCCTCAATCAACATCTAATATCGCTTCTTCCCATCAACCATACCATCCAACTCAATATGATTATGATTTATTGGACTCAGCTGCTTCAAGTATTAGAGATATCCAAAGAATCTATGCAACTATGAGTGTAAATCTTGATCAACAAAAGCACATCAATCTTACTATCATTCTCACAATCATCTACTTGACAAATATTCCACTCTCGACATGAATCACGTTCTCTATCAAGACAATATTCCCATTTCTCGATATGAATCACATTCTTGTAATACATCTCCACATAATAATAGAAATCGTTTATTATCCAGGTCATGTCCACAATTACGAAAAAGATCACCAGAAAGACGATCACCACCAAAAGGTAATTAGTAATTAAAACCATATAAAAGCCTCTTTTTTCATGTAACTAAAAATTGAACTTTGCTTTTTTTTTTTTTTTTTAACTTTTTTTTTTTTTGGTTTTGTAAGCTTGTTCCTACCACCAACACAAGAGCAGGAAAGTAGATGAGATACTTTTCAGCCAAAACCAGGTGCTGTATGTCTTAATGAAAAGGCTCAGTGAAGATATAAGGGAGATTAAATCGGAATTAAGATGGCAGCAAAGTGAAGTGGACAATAAACCTTCTCCGAAGGTTATAGACATTAGTATTTTCCATAGTTTTTATAATAAAAAACTTGTTTGGAGGTATTGTCTTGTATTTTATAATGAACCTTATTTTAAAGTTTTTTGTTTCTTACAAGAAATCTTTACTGGCATTGCTAAACATCTCTTCCCTTACCAAGTGTATCCCACCCAAGCAATTATAAAAAAAACATTTAAGGGCTACCTAGAGGAAAGGTTCCTGGACTTTATGTCTAACTTAAGTTTCAACAAATTCACAAACTATTTTCAGGGTCAATGGTTGAGTCTAGTAATATTCTTTTTTTATTATATATATCTATTGCTTATAATCGTTTTCTAACTTTCTCAATTTATATTATTTTGTGTTAGGTATGATTCTTTTATTATATATTGCTTACAATTATTAATGATGGTTTTTAGTTTTAATTTTCTAACTACTTACAATTTAAATTATATAGCTCCTAAAAAAAATCAAGAACAACCATGAAGCTGCTCTTCAAAACATTAGGTCTGTGATTTAGTGTGTTTTTGGGGTTGAGAAGTTGCCCTGGTTAAGAAGTAATATGGCTGCAGCCAATATTGTAAGATTAAAGAAAAGTTCAGTAGTAAGTGATTGTTATCACATGCTTTTTTAACGAAATGATGAGAGCAACTTTTGGGTGTCTATTATCGCAAAGACAGCTTTTAGTATGGCAGTAGTCTCTTCTATGTCCAATGAATATTGCGCGTTCATACATGCGGTTTGAGACATCCTACTAAACCCCATTCACAAAACCTTTTGTGTAAGAAATCTCAAATGAAATGTAGAATAGAACAATATTTGGTAAGTAATTGTATATTTTGATTTTATAATACTAATATTAATATTTAATATATTTGAATAGAGAGATTTTGAAAATGACAGCCCAATCGTATGAATCTGCTAAAAATATATTAAATGGCAAAACTAGGAGTAATGAATGATCAAGAAAGACCTTACCTCAAGATTCTGACTCTGAATTTCTTCTCTGAAATAGCCTGTCAATAAGTGATAAATGAATTGTTTGAATTCACTAATTAGCAATATTTTTTCTTGTATTGATTTTTTTTCTTTATTATATTTTTTTCTTTGTATTGCGTTTTTTCTTTATATTGCTTTTTTTTCAATGTTTAATAAATCAGTTTTAATATCAAATAAATGCATGTAATAAAGTTTATATTTTTAATAAAACTGTTAAACATTTTTAAAACTATTATAAATTAGTATAAAATTTATTGGATATATATCGATATAAATCAGGTTTTTATATATAATCGATCTTTAGCGATTTTTTGTTATAATGGCTAATTATTGATCATTATCACAATCGATATAACTCAATGAGGGGGATTATTATTGATATATCTCTGTATAGAAAATAATCAATATATATTAGCCTATATTTTTTGGCGATGACATCATAATATCATCATAGATTCGAAATAGAACAATGGGTGATGATCTTTGTGATAATCACCTTAGCATGACTATTGTCATGTATTAGGTTATTATTCTCACTTGAATTATTTATTATGATGAAAAGACATTATGGGATAATTCAGAGAATCGTGTCAAAACTTTTTCTTTTTTTTTTTTTTTTTTGGTTTTTTTCTCTCTTTTTTTTTTTTTTTTTTTAAAAACCCATTTTTGCTTAGTGTTCTGGGTTACTGTTGAAAAGGACCTAAGGTACAAGAACATCGATTGGGACAGCCAACCCCCAATACTCATTATCTGAGGTAACGATAACCCTCTTTTATTGCACCTGTGGCTTCACCAATGCAGATACTGGCCAGAATATTTACCCTCATAGTCTGCATGCTAAAGTATCCTTTTACTGCTGCATTTACTGCTCCAGTTGTCATTTGTTTGCCTGATGTATTTAGAAATAAATTGTCATGATTTTTTCACTTCTTTCTAACCTTCAAATACTTATAAACTAGACGTACAGGGCAATAGGGAGAATTTGTTGAGTCAACTGGGATGAATTTACCCTTTGCAAATTATCTGTCTTAGATCTGTTTATTCTAACCTAACTGATTTCTTTTATCACTTTTATGTCATTCACATGTAGGTTACAAAGTTCAGCTGGCCAACGCATTGTGCAAAGGCCTAATACAATCATAGCACAGTCACATTTTCAAATAATTCTAGATATGTTTCAAGAAGGGTTATCTACATAGTTTCGCAGAGCTTTTACAGAAAAGAGGTCACGAGGCCAAACTGCCTCCTTATTAATTGCAGTGAGCTTTCTTATGTTTTTTATATGACGTTGGACATTGTAATCTGTTGTGGGGTTTTTTAATCTGTTACTCTAATGATAATGACTAATTGCTGCTATGTAAGAATATAAGTCTGTTGACTGGGATAACATATTTGCTCAGGTTAGAAATAATGCAACTGTGTCTGGATAGGTCAGACTTACTCCTAAATTATGAGTATTGCAAAAGCCCTTGAACTCTCTTAACAAACTCTCAAGACATTTATCATACTTTGATTTTGAAGTTAGCATTATTTGAGTCTCTTCTGCCAAGGCATTTAAAAATAAACTTTTACTGCTTAAAATTTCTAGAAAGGATTCTTCTATAGTTCTGGTATTTGGTTCTTACCTGGTATAAGTAGAAAACATTCTGTTGCAGGAGAAAGATCTATTACCTCTTTTTTTATTCTGAGAAGAAGTAGCCACCAAGGAGCTGACAGCCATATTGGAACAATAATAGTCATTTGTGTCTGTGCCTCTATTCCTTGTTCGAGTGCTCTATGGACTAAACTTAGTAGAGTATATATAATTGTTGTCATGGTTTCATTTTTGTATAAAACAATCAATGGCATCTGCTTCTAGGCAAAAGAAGCAACTGTTGAAATGAACTACTTTTCTTGTATGAACACTAGCCATTCAGTCTATCATGAATGGTCCCCATTTCCTTTCTATAAATTGATATAGACTTTGATTTATTGTCTAGTTAGAGTCATCGAAGACTCATATAAGTTTGTCAGCTGGGTTTAGCTCTGAAGGGACCCACTGGAATTCGTAATATATACATTGTGTTTGGTGCAAAGATTCCAAACCTCTCACATTAATTCTTTTTGCTATAGTCTTTTTTCACCTAATTTTATTGATTTCTGAGCTACACGATTGTCTATAAATACTGTTATCCATCGATTTAAGATTATCAGTATAAATGCCTCTATGCCCAACAGTGCTGCCATTGACTCAAGAAGAGCAATATTGGTATGCTTGTGCTTTTGCTTTCAATTCCCAAAGGCTTTTTTTCCTTCCACAATTGCCAATCACCCTATTTTTGATGCATCAACATATAATAGCATTATCTAGAATGGTTGCCAAGCTGGGCTTCCATTTTTCTTTTCCAGATTTTCCAAGACCTGGTTTATATCATGAAGTGCTTGAAGTATTAATAGAATTGGAGTCTCCTATTCTCAAGGTTTTCTGTTTTCTGCATTAATTATTGAATAAAATTCTAGGCAATGAGTTTTTGCATAAGCAAAAGCACAACTTAAACTCATCAGTTTTCTCATTGCTGAAGCAAGCAGTCAGGCTGTTAGTGGTGATACTGTCAGAAGGCTTCAAAGTGAATACAATGTATCTCTTATTTTTTTGTCGGGTGCTATCACTTCTCCGGTTACTGTTTAAAATCATTCTGTAAAATTTTGCTTTTTGTATTGGTTCTGGGTGCCCTTTTTCAGCTAGAACGAATCCACTTTCTCTTAGATCTTTAAAAATTAACTGATCCCTGATTTGTATTAAGGTTTTTTGGCAGAGATGAGCTATCTATGTATTGTCTACATGATTTTCACAAATTATTCCAGATGCTCTCTAGTGTTTGATTAATACTCACATTATTTTTAAAAATATCCAAACCTCTTGGCTCAGACCAAAAGGTAAAACCCAAAAATTGTACTAACTTTGCTCTATCTGAAAATCTAACAATCATTGTGCCTTGCTATCCATTTGTACATGTTGGTATCCCTCCTTCAAATCCAATACTATTATCTACCAATTTTGGTCTACTATATGCAAAAATACATCGAGTCCTTCGAATTTGAATGGTTTTACTGATAATGTTTGATTTAGACATCTGAGATCAACTACCAATCACCACTGCTTGGGTCCCAGTTTTAAAACTAGAAATATTGAGCTTGCTTTGAGTAGATATGAAGGATGAGTTGAAGAGTCTGCAATGTGTACAACTGCATTTGATTCTAAAAGCTTTTTTATTTCCAAATCTAACTAGTTTCTTTGTTTTTGTGTTAGTGGATATTCTGGTGGGTTTGATTATTTTGTTAGAGCCAATAGCTCTTTTGAATATAGAGAAACCCTGTTTTTTAACCAATTTAGAATTAAACTGGATGCCTGTAATTTGTTTTCCCAATAGTTTACATGCTTTTTTATATGCAACCATCCTACTACAACTATTTTTTGCTAGGCCCAAGTGTAGTCAATCGTGTTTACTTTCATCTTGAGATTTACTAAATTTGTTTCTATATGAATTGTATTTTTTTGATCTGTAATTAAAGTTGTTTTCTTGCTGTTATCTAGTGTCTTGGTGTGAGT